TCTCCATAATTGACCTGATTTGAGCATATAACTAAGTCCCGGTTACAGACAGAAAGATGGCAATATTAACTCCATTTGGATTATTCGAATTTCCGTTTATGAATGTCGGCTCACGCAACGCCAGTCAAACATTTCAACAATTCATGCTCACAGACCAATAGCAGTCCATCAACCTACGTACAACAGCTTCGCCAACATTTCCAACTGTTACAGCCTATATCCGGAACACGAGATGGGGAAAAGAAGACATTCATCTACAAAGACCTCCAAACAGCAGAGTACGTCGTAATTAGACATGATGGTCCTAAAAACTCTCTACAATTCTCTTACGATGGCCCTTTCAAAGTAATCCGCAGGAACGACCACACGTTCACCATTCAGTTACCCAACAAATATAAAACTCTATCTATTCACTGACTTAAACCAGCATACTTCATGTCAGATGGACAACATCCACAATCCTCTTCTGTACCTGCAATCACCAATAACGACGTCCGGCAATCAACAAAAACAACCCGCAGAGGACGTCGAATGCGCTTCCCGAAATACTTCACAGCAGGATGACCAATATCGTTTATCGCTAGGGAGGGGGTCATGTGGGAACATCCCCAAATGTATATAATTCACAGACATACGGTACATGCACAGGTATGCAAACGACTCAAGATTTCTATCGCCGCTGTCAATTGACCAAAACTAGGTGAACCATCGAACTCGGACCAAATTGCTTGATAAACATTTTGCATTTAATCCATGTAAATAATATTGGTTTAAATATTGTATAAACATATTGAATAAATTAGACTCGAAAATAGACTCATCTTCTTTTGACTATTGGCTCGCAAATAGACTATAGTCACATCATCATCCAGCTCCTCTCGCAAACAGGCTGGAGCTTGGCATCTTTATCTGTTAGCATCACGCACGCTACAGGAATATTGGACTTAATTCATTCTGACCTATGTGGGCTATTGGAGACTGCAATATTAGGAGCAAAATATTTCCTTAGGTTTATAGAGCTTAACTAACATCAACTAACACAAGCATTTAAATATTTTAAAATACCAGTAGAAAATCAAACTAATAGAAAAATTAAAATTATCCAAACAGATAATAGAAAACAATACATGACTGCAGAATTAAGTAACTTATCATGAATTTCAGGTATTCAACATCATTTTCGGGCAAAAAAAAATTGCACAAAAGATGAACCCCACAATAATCGAAAAAGCAAAAAGCATGTTACCCATTTTAAATATACTTAAAGAATTTTGGGGAGAAGCAATAAAACCTGTAGTATAGTTTACTAAACGATCAACAGCAGCCGCACTAGCTAATGATAGACTCCAGAGGAACACTGGCAGGAAAAAACCGAACATAAGCCGTCTAAGAGTTTTTGGGTCCAAAGCGATGCTACATGTAACTAAAACAAAAAGATTAAAATGAGGTAATAACTCGGTCGAAGACACACTTTTAAGCTATGACGAAAATTCAAAAGGCTATCGATTAATGAGATCTCGATAGCTCTCTTCTCAAAGTGTTCCATGAAGAAATTGTCCGGATTTAGTGGGCTTCCCATTGCTACACCATCTACCTGATCATAGCAGTCCCCCTTCCACACGAAATAGCTTCCAGTGAGATAAACCTCAAAGAACTTGCAGATGTCGGCAGGGATGATCTTAATCACCAGCTCAAGGCACCCTGTTAGCGGTACCTTGGTGAATAGCAAACGACATGGAAGCTTACAAGGACGTTTCCTGTTCCAAACGTCCAAAAGCGTATTCTGCGGACGGCAGCTGTTCAACCGAGGCTATATGGATTACCTAAGATCCACAAGGTTAATGTTTCTCTGAGACCGATAGTAAGCGCCTCCGAATCACCAACATGCTACTTAGCGAAACACGTGGCATTGCTAATCCAGTCTCACGTGGATCAGTTACATCAAGGATTCCACTGACTTCCTACGCAAGATCCGATCCAGGAAACATACTCGTAAGCTTGGACGTCGTCTCGCTGTACACCAAGGTATAGCTGACATGGTGCCTTGACCTGGTGACTAAGATCTTCCTTGCCGACGTCTGCAAGCACTTTGAGGTTTGCCTCACTGGAAGCTGTTTCGTGTGAAGGGGAGATCTATGATCAGGTAGATGGGGTAGCAGGTAGCAGCCCCAGTAAGTATGGTCATAGTCAATTTCTTCAAGAAGCATCTTGAGAAGAAAAGTCAGAGTACAACCCAACTGCTTGGTTTCCATACGTGGATAACACCTTCGTAATTTGGAAACACGGAATGAAAATGCTAAACCACTTCCTCCAACACCCAACACCCCAGCATCCAGTGCACCATGGAGACTGAGAAGGACAACAGTTAGCATTCTTGCGAGTACCAGTAAACCAGAAAACGAATGTGAAAATTATCTGAACGACTCCATGATAAATAATAATAAACGAATTTGAAGAAAATATAGATGACTGACGACCTATAGGAACCGCTCAAATCATATAAACCAAAGAAAATGAAAATAGAAATAAAAATAAAAAATCAAGATCAACTAGACCATCAAAACCAATCACATTAGAAGCTAATTCGTTCAAAACAAAATGTAATAAAATCATTAACTGTAAAAGAAGCAATGACAAGTAACGAACGAGAATAATGGAAAAGGCCATGAATTCAGAAATGGAATCATTAAAAAAATAATACAGTATGGCAATTAGTCCATTTATCAGAAGGAAAAACAGCCTTAGAAACTAAACGGCTATATAAGAAGAAGATAACCCTGATGGAAACAAACAAATACAAAGTAAAATTCGTTGCCAAGGGATACTAACAAAAGTTGGGTCAAGATTTATAATTAAACATATGCAAATAATCATAATAGCAACGCATGTCGACGATCTTACCATCTAATGGCAAAAAGTTAAAAGAACATACAAAATTAAAGCTAAAGTAAATTTTACTATTAAGGATCTAGGACCAATCAAATACTATTTAGGCGTAAGAATATCCAACTATTGTTAGATCAAACAAAATACATAAAAGAATCTTTGAATAAATACAATATGAATAAATATATACCAAAAATGTCCAAAATCTGTCGAACAAAAGGGAGAAATGAATAAAGTACCATACAGAGGCAATTAGTAGTTTACTCTATTCAAACATGACAACAAGGCCCCATATTTGTTATGTAGTAAACTTTCGAACCTCTGACGCAAACAATCCATGGATACCACATTGGAAAGCTGTTAAAAGAGTCTTCCGCTATTTAAAAGGAACTAGCAGTTATAAATTTTAATATTGAAAAACCGATTCTGCATTTGAAACTTACTGTGACACTGACTATGGTAATATTGAACGTGATAGAAAATCAATTACTGGATAGCTAATCATGAATATCAACGGGGTACTATATGGGCATCCAAGAGATAACCGGTTCCTACATTATCGACTTGTGGGGCAGAGTATATGGCAATTGTTTGAGCAACGAAAGAAACTCTTTAAATTTAACTTGGGAATTAAAATCACATCTAGTTCAGGCGCCAACAACAACGTATACCGACAACCGAGAAGTCATAGATCTTGCAGGGGCTGCAGCATATAGACCACGTACGAAACATATTAACATTAAATAATTTATTAAACATTATGTGGACAATGAAGATTTCAAAAGTGAATAAATTTTAACACTACCCTCATGAAATATAGGCATTACGTGGTTTGCGCTCTGTAAGAACTTTGTCCTACTTACAATGTTGGTAATGCTGAAGATTAGCGTATAATTCCCTGACTTTCTTTGAAAGAATAGTTTTATTGCATATGTTGGGCGCGGAAATCACGTCTTCATCTACTTTTTCAGGTTTGAAAAATTTGAAACTAAGAACACGTGTTATCGATACCTAGCAAATCATTCAAGTAAGGTTAGGTTATAGGGCTAGGGGATACGTAAAAGCTTTAAACAACCCAGCTCCTCCTTATACCTCTCTCACCTCGATCCAATTTTACATGAAATATTTGCGGCGTGTCTAATTTATCGATATCTCGTAAATCATTCAAGTAAAGTTAAAAAGTTATGTTAGCGGGAAAGAGAATAGGGTGTATGTTAATAAATACGTACAAAATTTAAACAATCCCCTTCCCCTAAGAGCTCGGCCTCCTCTTGCATTAGATTCTACAAGATCTACGGCTGAGGGGGAAGGGTGACGAGGTTGTTTAAATGTTGCCATCCCCCCCCTTTCCTTCTTAACCTAATATTACATGAAACATTAGCGGGATATCGATAAATTTATTATCCCGCAAATATTTTATGTAAGATTGGATAGGATAAGAGAAGCAGGAGGGGGGTACATATCTTAACAACTCTCACATCCCACATCTAACCTAACCTTACGTGACTGATTTACAAGGTATCAATAACACGTCGTCGTAGTTTTTAATTTCTCAAAGCTGAAAAAGTAGATGAAGACATAATATTATTATATCTATAGAATATAAACATACGGTTATCTTATCTTTAAATTTCAATATCGAATATACATTTCCGGATCCAGCATACAATATATTCTTATATGTATATTCTTGATCAGCATAACAAATGGTACCAAGATACTAAAATTTCAAGGAAATCGGGGAGGTGTGCACTAATCTCCATCATTACCAAAATGTTTTTTTTTTATTTATTTATTGAAAACTTATTACCAAACAAGTTCATAATAAATAAGTTTTTTGTTTTGTTCTCTTGATGGAGTTGTCACAGGTGTCCTCCGCTTTAGGTCTATCGCATCTATATGTTTTCTCGGTGAATAAGATTTGGCCCAAATTTTGATTGAGCTAGCAGTCTATCATATCGGACTATCGAGAGAGGGAGGAGAAAAAATTAGGGGTAAGTAAAGAATAACACTACTTCATGTATACTTCGTTTAGTTTCTGTAGCGATGTGACCTTCAGTTTGACCGGCGCAAAGTAGAAAAGAACAGCACTAGGCCAGAAAAGAAAGGAGACAACTCTCGGCCAAACTCTTAGCCTCGTTGCACATTACACGTTTTCGCCCGCACGATCAAAAGTCGTACGAGTTTGTATCGTGGTGTAGTTACTTTCTCACTGTACGATTTTAAACGTAGGTACCGCACGATTTGTAACCGTACAAAAACAGTATTCAGTACGCTAGTTGTCACCATTTTTGAAGAAAATATAGTAGAGTGACTATGAATCGGGGGCAAATTATAGCTTGGTTATTGCATCGGCGTCGAAAAAGACAAAGGCGTAAGCGCCTTCATTGGGTTCATCCTATTAATCAGAAACGTGAGGAAGTGGGATTATTCTACACCTTGTTTGAAGACTTGAGAAATGATGAACGGAAGTTTTTCAACTACTTTCGTATGTCAGCTGGCTCCTTCGACGAACTGCATGGCAAACTGCAGAACGTCCTTCAACGGCAAAACACACAATTTAGAAATTGTATACAACCTATTGAAATGCTAGCTATAACTTTAAGGTAATAAGTGTCTTTAACACCGACTGTTTTTACTTCCCTTGTAGAGGGAGGTATTGTAATCTTAAAAAAAATCATCCTCCGAGATTATTGCTTAGTTTTACGTTGTAGAATCCCTGAACCACGAAATACATATTTGTTTTCCCAATTCCGTAGGCCAGTTTGATGCATGTTAATTATGCACTGTAACTGAAAAGCTATTTTTTGAATGTAAATTCAAGGGCAACTAATAAATCATCCGTCAATCATAAATGTTAAGCATATTGATTTAATATCAATTTTTATTTAAATTTACGATTTTTGACAAAATTAAAAATATAGACCTAACTTGTTATACATAAAGGAGATAATTAAACAAAATCGATTTGATCTGAACAGGTGGATTCGCCTGAAGGTGTAGTTGGACTCGCCAGATATTCAGTTGAACAGTCACTGTAGCAAAAACTCGAAAGGGGTTGCAATGTTGTCTGTGATTCTGTTGTTGATTGTGTACGATTAGTGCGTGGTATTGCATTGTACACTGGCGTTGCTGAATTTTTAAGTCGATTTGAATGATGAGGAGGTGAAGTGTGACGATGCTCAGAAACATTTGAAATATGAGGTGGATATTGTTGAGGGGGATATGAAGGTTGTTTAGCAGGTACAAATGATTGATGTTCCGGAGGAGGTTGAGATAGATGCGGAAAGGCTGAGTAATAAGAGGGCACGTGAAATGAGTAGTTCGTTTGGGGTTGAGGTGTCGCTTCCTTGCTTTTATTTATATTTTCTATAACGTTTAGCACTCCCATTTGAAAATGAAGAAATTCTCCATCTGTATAATGCTTCAAGTGTGGCATTAAACTTTGCAGAAAAGACATTTTACTGCAAGGTGTTACTGGTTCCAAAGCTTTGAGGAGTTTTAATTCAACTTCATCTACTTTCCTATGTTTTCTGGTCCTCATCTGATTTGAAGGCACGTTTATAGTAGAAGTACTGGGAAGAAGGGCATCTTCAGCGGTACGTGAAGGCTCGTCATCATCTACAAGCGTATTCTCCGACCCTTCTTCAATTTCAGACATCATGCTGTCAACTGTATTATGATCATCGTATATCTTATTTAAAAACTGCAGTTGATCTGAATACACATACTTTTTGCGGATTTTTGCATCTGATCCACTTTTTTTTACGGTTTTGGCGTCTCTCTTCGATTTTGCATAACAATCTCGGAGGTTGGTCCATCTTCGGATTACTTCCTTACCTATGAAGATACAGAAAGAGTAATTAATATTACAAATATTTTTTTCTTTTAGATATTTGGCTAGCGGTTGTACATTTACTGATTTACACTACCAGTACAGGGTTGGAATTTCAACTGCAAGGAAAATTGTTCAGGAAGTCTGTAAAGAGATTTGGTCAATAATGCGAGTAGAATGTATTCCAACACCAACTTGTGACAGGTGGGAATCAATCGCTTCCGATTTTGAAACTACTGCTAATTTCCCACACTGTCTCGGCGCTGTTGATGGAAAGCATATCCGACTTACTTGTCCATTTAACTCAGGATCTATGTATTTTAATTACAAAGATTATTTCTCCATTGTATTAATGGCTGTAGTCGACTCCAAGTACAAATTTGTCTATGTTGATGTAGGAAGCTATGGCAAAGAGTGTGACTCTTCAATTTTTAAGAGGTCAAACTTGTGGAAGTCAATTGAAAACAATACTCAACAATTGCCTGAAGAAAGACTTCTTGCAGGAACAGAGAGTCCTAAAATACCCTACTTTTTTGTTGCCGACGAAGCGTTTGGTCTACACAAGCACTTATTGAGACCGTTTGGAGGCAAACACCTTACAATTGAGAAAAGAGTGTTTAACTATCGATTGTGCAGAGCTCGAAGATATGTAGAATGTGCTTTTGGCATTCTTAGTAATAAATGGCGAGTGCTTCATCGTCCTATCAATGTGCAAACAGATTTTGCCGTACTCATTGTCAACGCATGCATTGTATTGCACAACTATGTACGTGATAGAGACGGATATATTGTTGAGGACACAACAACGATCACAGGTCTAGATGATTTGGCTGGGGAAACTACTATTAGAGGAGGCTTGGCAGCAAACAATATCAGAAGTGTTCTTTGCAAATATTTCATGTCAAACCTTGGAAGTGTACCGTGGCAAATGTCAAAAATTTAATGTTCAAAAAGGGAAATGTCAATCTTTGTGACTTTTGTAGGTGGTTAAAAATTGCTCTCGGAGGTTAAAGCTGCTTTTAAGAGTTAAAATGGAGTTGAAGTAGAAGTAGAAGTACAGTAATGTTATAGGCCTAATATGTATGTAAGGTTAAAATATTACATTTATTAAAAAGTACTTACCAAATGTATTTTTCTCTGCATCACTAATGCTCTCAAAATCTGGTTTCACTGCCAAACATACTTCCTTCCAGGCATTTTTTGTTAAGATTCGATCTTTATATATATCTAAAGTTTTGTCCCATAACACAGGCTTTGCTTCAATAAGAGAAATTAAAACTTCAGCGTCCATTACATCCATAATCACAGAAAACCCGCACAAGAAAACACAACAGCAAACAACGCGAATAAAATGGTAGTAGTAGACAGGTTCCCGCACGATTGAAACCGTCTAGTATGAAAGGGTGCATTTGGCCACGTAGTCCACTAAACGAAGATACGATACGGATACCGTTCATCTGTAGTGGCACTGGACGGCTGCAACGCGATCAAAAATCGTGTCCGTGCCGTAACCGTATAATGTGAAAGACCACCATACTCTTCATAGGAGACTAAAAATATTTGCCCGTACGATTTATTCCCGCACGGGCGAAAACGTGTAATGTGCAACGAGGCTTAACCGGTGAGAAGCGTATAATCCGTACAGTACTGCACGGAAAAATTGACCATTTTATCTACTACAATTGCATTGCTCAAATGTGCTGTTTTTGGTACCATTTACTACTGAAAATATTAACAAGATGTTTATTTATATTTAAAGGAATATTAATGGCTTTAACGCTTGTTTTCGACGCACTACTATTCATGATTGAACAAAACTTTTGGCAGATACTGTATGAAAAAGAATGAACAAGAGTCGAGAGTATAATGAGCTTTTTTCTCCCTACCTACGATTTTACTAGCGCGCGTCCAAGACATTGGAAGGGATATATTGCTAGAGAAAGTAAATGAAGTATAACACTGCTGCGCGTATATTGTGATGGGAAATTTTAATTGTTCTCTTTTGTCAAGCTCGACTACATAATATAACTAGTGCAATTAAAAAAAGGTAACTGATGAATCAGACTGGAACTAGGAAGTAAATTAATATAGCGCAACGAGTATCAAATAAAAGGAAATATATGACAACGAAACTTCGTGAGTGTTGTCCTATCGTACCGTTAGAAAAGAAATTAATAAAAATAGACGAATTAAAAAATAACCACACGTAATGGAATTGAACCCAAGACACCGGCATACTAGCCGACCATCCATTTGACTAGGCCATCACGCTAGCTACAAAGTACTGACAGAGAATTCTTGTTTCGAAGAGAGCAATTGGTGTCACGATCATGAAGAGTGCAACAGAAATGGCAGCATGCGCAGCTGAGGAAACAGTGTTGTGTGTTTACCCGCTATAGTAAAAAATTGAGTATCGACCACTGTTTGGTGGAAAACATTGCAAGAATGACGAAGTACGTTTTATGCATTTATAAGGGATTAATGGGTGAAAAATATTTAGTAATTTTTTACATTAGTTGACATTCGAGTTGAGACATGAAGTTTAGTCAGGTAGGTAGTACTTACCAGGTAGAGTCTGGTAATATTTATTAGAATGTTGTTTATTATTTATTTAGAAATCAATGTAACTGAGATACAGGCTGTTAAAGTTTTCTTAATCGAAGAAAATTGGCTTTAGCCTTTCGTCAGTTGTTCCCGCTAAACATCGTTTGTCCTAAAAAATATCGTCGTGACATTATTCTAACATATCAGCCAGCAGGGACATTAAAACTACTCGAGTCTGTCATAAATGTACCTAACCAAACTATGACGTCATCAATGCATATTTGGCGAGAACAGCTGACGAAGGCCTGCAGCCAGGGCCGTACCAACCGGAATTTCCTCTGATTAAGAAAACTTTAGGAGCCTGTATCTCAAACCACATTGGCTTCCGCATGAAATTAATACTACCACACGATTCTACTTGGCGAGTACTACATACCTGACTTAACTTCATGTCTCAACTCGAATATCAACTAATGTAAAAAATTACCAAATATTTATATTGGCACTTACAATAATGATAAATTGTTCTGTTTATGGTTTCCGCAACCATAAGCTGCAGTTGTGGCAACAAGAAGAACAAGGTTATGTTTCACATGTAAATTAATGATTGTGATGAAATATTCTTGTCATAAATTGGAAATTGTCTGTTAAAAACGAGTTGTCGAATTGAATAGCAATACCGTTTTTCCCTAATCGTATACTGACTCCAAATTCCTTCGAAATATAAGGAATTTATCTAGGTCTGGCAACCCAGTAAACGTACACGTACAATACACATGCATAAATAATAGGTATTCAACCACACAACAACTGAGCTTACAAATTAAATAGGTTTACGTAGGTATATGAATATGAATTTCAATTTATAATAATGGTAATCTTATACATACATCGGGATATGCAAAAAAGATACAGTTAGCTCACCATAAAAATAGAATGTTGGTAAATAAACTTACAAATGCAACAGTTGCAACACTAACAAAAATCACAATTTAACAATAAGTTTAAAATCACATACAAAATATATTTCATTAAAACCAAACTCGTATTATTGAACGTTGCATAATCGTTTTACTGCTTTTATTATGCACATACTATAAAACATATTAAACAAACATTTTTTTTATAACCACCGAGCACAATAACACGTCTTAAACTGTTGCACTTCGTTAGTGTCAATTGTGTCATAGATCAAGTCTATGGGATCAAGTTACCGTCAGTCATGCTTTTACCAATAGTGTTTCCTGCACGTTCGACCGTGTTTATTATTTTTAAGCCTTCAAGTGGAAGAACATGACAACTTGACAACGCCAACACTCACTTTGTTCCAGTTGTATTTTCCTACCACAACATTATGAGTTATATTTCAATCTTAATGTATTATTGAATTCCTACCGATTATTGGTAAGAATAAAATTGAATAAATAAATAAACATGTTTAATAAAGGAAGAATTCATTATGTCGGCGAGTAACGGAACGTAAAACCCATGCCAGCGATCGATTATCCAAGAAGGAGGTTTACCACTGAAACACTTCTCAGCCGGTTTGGCTAAATAATAAACAAAAAATAAACTTCAGTCAGTCAGTTATTTTATTAAGAATAAATAAAAGTTATATTATAAGGAAGATTCTATGTATGTAACAACAGTATTTGAGAATCGCATTCGTGAATTTCATCCAGTACACTAAAAATGGCGTAATCACAGAAACAATTGTTAAAGTTTTCTAATAAATTCATTGTGCGATGAATACTCTAAGTAGTTTTAGTGAATTAATCGTTTAAATTATTTTATCCACCACAAATAACCTCAAATAAGAATTCTTTAGCATATTCGTTATAGTACTTATGGGTTTGACTAACTTTTTCCGTAACAGGTTTTTTGAGAATCGAATCTTCTTTCGGTTTAAAATATTTCAATTAGTAATCGTGACCGTTAGGAATAAATATATTACCGTTATTATTAATTATCAAAAATCATTGGAGCTTATTAACATACAAGGCAACTTCTTGTAATTTTTCTACGTTTGTAATAAAAGAAAATAAGGCTAGAGGCGACGCTAAAATTCCCTAAACTGGCATTTGCTCAGACGCGAAATAATTATTTTTGCCATGTCTATGGTAATTTGGATTAATCTATGCTCAGGATACATCGAACGTGTTTTTCATATAAAAATCTATGGATATAAAAACCTAGATGTTTCCCAATTGATACCTGTAATAGGTACCGTAAGTGAATGTACATTTATTTCATGGAAGTTTAATGGAAATTTAAGTAGTGTGAAGCTGGCACCCGATATAAAAATCACCTGATTTAAACTTCACGAATAAATAAAAACGCGTTCTAAATATGTAAGTGCGTCAATTAAAAAGAAAAAGAGGAAAATTGTTTCGGGTGCAGGTAGAACTTAAATATCGATTTAGTAAAAAAACTACTGAAGACATCGTAATTTAATTGATGCCAATCGATTGCGCGTCATTTGTGCTTGAAAATTGAGCTATTATGGTAAGCGGAGTATATTTTTAAATTATTTATTAATAATTGCAAATAATACTTCACTTTTCAATGGTCTTATTAGTATGCGTGTAGGTTGTTGCTACCATAGGTTGCTGCGAAGACACTTCAGTAACTGGTACTGGTAGTGGTACCAACACAAATTCTGTCATAATATAATGATTAATGATAATAGTCAAGTGTAGCTGAAAGACTATGCTAGGACTGCAGTAGAGTTTGTAGATAATGGTGTCTGTTTGAAGCAAAGTAGTTTTTTGAAACTGCTATATCTTCGAGGTTTACATTAATTATAGAAGCCCTCGACGTTTCCATATGCTTTTTATTCTGACTTGGTAATTATTTACTTACCAAAATATGTGTGATACAACTAATTCAGTAAATTCATATCCATTGGTAAGAAAATGTCTCTTTATTTTCAAACAATATAATGTTGGTCTAAATATAGAATAATCCTCAACAAAATGCTGGGAGTTCGGAATTTATAGTTCCAGTTATTACCCCTACCTCCCCAAATTTAACATATTTGCCGAGTACAAGTAGTTGTGATGATATACCACCACCAAAACCAGACTATTCTGCTCCACCTCCTTATGAAATTGCAACAAAATTACCAACCTATGAAGAAGTACAAAGAGAGAAAGTATTAGAAAGTAATAATCCTCTTAATTACTCGACTTGTCACATAAATGTAAGTGTAGAAATATAGATATTTAATTACAAATAATTTGGATACCTTCTTATCCCCTAGACTTGTAACATTAATGCCAGACAAAGAGTAATTGTTGATGCAGAAGCTATAGAAGAAGTTGACACAACTCTTTTGGGGACAGATTTTATGTTTTACACTGCATTTTTTGGTAAAAAATATACTTATTTTACCTTGTAATGTATGTGTTTTAAATTATTATACTTTTTGTAGTTGCTTTTGTATTTAATTGGATTGGATTTTTATTGTTGACATGTTTCTGCCATACAATTGCATCACGTTATGGAGCACTGTCTGGTTTTGGACTGTCTTTGGCAAAGTGGACTTTAATTGTAAAACATTCTACTGATTTAGCTTCTAGTGAGAATAGTTGGCTTTGGTGGCTGATTATGACCTTTGGTACGTAATATAATAATTATCAATTTTGAAGCTATTAGTCTTGAGAAATCTAACAGTGGTTTTCTAAATCACTACTTTTTATTTTCTATTATCTTCTGTAATTTTTTAGGTCTAATAATTTGCATTCGTGCAATTTTGCAATACTTGAATATAAAAAGAGGATGGCACTTGTTAAGTACAAGTCATCAAGAGCGCTTACTTTTTTTCTACTGATTTAATTGTTTCAAATTGTAGCAATTGTTTAAGTAAAATCAGAAATGTATATTACCTGCATTCCATAAAGTTTTAGTGGTATATATTCAAATGCATGCTAACATAGAAAACAAAAAAAAAGTTGTAGATTATAAATAATGTATGTGGCTTTAACTTAAATTATATAGAATGTTTCTTTTTTGTGACTATATAGGTACTTAGTTACATATATACATACAGTTACAATCATAACTACATACCTACTTATCAAACACAGTTATGATAATATTTAATTGTTTTATTTTCAATTCTTGAATTATAATAGTAATTATATATGTATGTTTGATTCTGTATATCCATCTATAGTATTTAAACCAATTAAAAGTATGTAGTTTTTCATTATAACAAAGAGATATAAGTATAATAGCCGGTAATTTAGAATTAGGAATTTTTTATTTTCTTTATATACACTTATCAGTCATAGTCATAAAAATACTAAAATCAACGAATTCAATTCAATTTAATAATTTATTTTACAATTTGCATTTGATTTTATATCCATATAAAAGCAAAGCTCCAGAATGAGTTATAATACAATTATGAAAGTGAAATACAAATAAATCGAAAATGTCAACAGAAATATTTACAGATTATTTTTGGCACATAGTGTATTATAAACATTGTTGCAGCTACAATAAATTAAGTTGTGAGGTTTAGCACTATAAAACCAATGGTAATACTATACAAGTATTACAAGGGTTTTTAGAACTAAATAGTTCCTCAATTTGATTATTTTAAACGGGAGTTGGTCGCGACAGGGAAGTATAGTTGATGCTACGTGGATAATCTACAAGTCAAGGAAGATATGGAAGAAGGTGTTGTCGACCTAAACACCACACTAGTGGTAGAATTCTACCGTTAAAGGATTTTTCAGAATGTAATCAGAACGTATCTGTTATGAATTAGGTTGAGAAAAGTCCCTTATAGTTCAGGCTGAGGTTTGTAAGGTCCGAGAGTCCTAAATAAGGTAAGTGCACAGCTGTCAGACTTGCCCTACTATTCAGCCTATCAACTCCAATGTTAATGCTATAATATTAAATAAATTGGTTTCTTGCTCTATTACTAATCAACACGTGTACATATGTGATAGGATTCGACCAACCGCAATTTCTGTTCAATTCGGCGTAGTCAACCAATACATTTTTCCCAACGTACCTTGCTTTGGAAATAGGTAACTACTTTATGGCCTTTTGTTTTAACACTGTATGTTAATAATTCCAATTTCCTAAATTAGAAAGCCAAATTTACCAGTGCTCAGCCACTTTTGGCCAAGTTGTACATAATTATTTTTATATTCAACATAAAAGTAATTCAATTGGTGACCCTGTGTTTAATCTTTAATTTAAGTATAGCATGTTGTACATTATTTTTACAAAATTCCAGAAGTCTGCCACCGTAAATTATTTTTCTACTGTCCAGTAGCTGTCTAGCATTTTTATAAACTTATTGGTTTCATTTAGGTATTAAGTATAGGCTTTAAATGCAGCAATCCGTACCATCGGTAATTTATCGGTTATTAACGAAAAGTTATTGGACGATATTTTAAAATAACGTTCTTAAATTAATACAAAAGCTAAGGTAGTGTAAATACTTACCTGTTTCTTACGATTTACAGAGCAAAAAGTAGAATTGTAGTTTGCATGGGTATTTAATAATTATTATAAATATTCGTACATACAAAATGGATATGTTTGCATATCCTAGCCTGTAGGTATACAAAATAGTGGAGTGCCTTTTCGTTTGCATCGTTAAAACCTTAAATAAAAATGTTTAAAAATCAAAATTTGCCTATGTCGTTTACAACAATTTATAACAACAGTTAATTAATAATAATGATAATAATAACAGTTAATAAAAATGTTTGTAGTAAAGATTTCAATTTTATATGATATTTTTATAGTAACTTGAATAGTAATTCATATTTTTTAGCTAAAAATAAACAATTTACAGAAAGAAAAAAATTGATAATAAGGCGAGTTACTTAAAATCGTATACATATCGGACCAAAGATAGAAAAAAAGGTAAAATATACTCATCATCATAAGGTCATCAGTCCTAAGACTGGTTGGACACGTACCTCCACTCTTTCCTATCCTGAGCTAAACTTCGCATTTCCCTAAAATTAGAACAACCCACATCCTTAACTATTTGCGAAGAATAATCTAATCTAGGTCTACCTCTAACCCTCCTAACTCCTGTTTCTGCTTCTAATATGTCTCTGACTAGACCTTCATGCCTAAGAAGGTGTCCTACCAACCTATCTCGCCTATTTTTTATTGACTTCCACAGAGGAAAAAATATGCTGCATTAATAAAAAAAATATGAGATTATAAAAGAAAAAGAATGAATATTTATTGTCATTAAGTTATATAAAAATTGAAAAATTCAGTCAATTATCTGCATTATCGTCGTCGTCATCAACATCTTATTGAATCCTATTGGATAATACTTAGGTGATAGATTAATACAACTGTTGCCATTACATTTTGAGCAAGCTAAGTGCAATTCAATCTGTTTTGCTGGGCAAAAAATCATTTTTAGTAAGATCTGTGGAGCTGGTAGTTGAATTATTGTTTCTGGTATCACTATTCCGTTTTCATATTTCTTACCCCATTCTTCCGAAAATATTTCTCTTGCAAGCCATGTTTGAATTTGGAGATATACTCTTTTGAAGTGTCCAAAAGCGGCACATGCAGTAGCTGCCGAAGCTGGTAATTTAATGCTGCTATTTTTAGCGGTTGCTTCTATGAAAGAATTATACCTCAACATATTTAGATCTTTTACTTTCTGGGGGCAGCATATAAAGCAAGACAGCATATAACGCCGCAGTTAAAAATGTCATTGACATCTTTACATTCATTTTCAAAAACTGTTGCAGCATTTTGTAAGTCTAGGCGTTGCTCGAAACTTTTTGCAAACATATTTTTTTCCCGTTGGAAGAAAGTGGACGTCGTGCCACAGCCGGCGATAGAATGTAAAAAAAGGATATGCTGTTTACACTTTGGTAATACTATTCCCAACTTTTAGATAAGTACATTTCTTGTAGCATTTTGCCTTTTGCTGGTTTTTGAAAATAAATTTCTTGATTTGTTGGTGAGAGCGTAGTTGGTAAAACTACAACATTCGCATCCTCGGAAACTACTATACAATGTTTTCGGATTGTTAACTTAAGCTCTGTTAAGGTTCCAAGGACAGGTTTGTAATAATGAGCCTATGTAAAATCTAACTTTCAGCGCAAAAAAATGGGAGTTTTTAACAGAAAATTAATGAAAACTCTAAAAAACTAGTTATATATTTATTGTTTTAATTGAAACATTGAGATAGGCATGGATTAATGGGTAAACATTTTAATATTTAGTGTCGAAAGCACATTCCCACAAGTTTTATAAAAATCCGTTCAGTTGACCCGGGTTCCGGGGTACAATCCTTACGGCACTCCACTAATAAAACTACTGCAATTACAATTTTCAATTTACCTAGAAGTGCTAAATTGAAATTTTATCTGTTTAAAAACAACATTTTTAATGGACTAATAGGGCTAGATAATCTAAAATTATTACAGGCAAATTTAGATTTTAACAAAGGAATTTTGTTAACTCCTTATTCAAAAATGAAACTTCGCTATCATAATACAAGTAACAATCTAAATTTAATTACAATAGCACCTCGCACTGAACAGGTAATTAAAATAAAAACTAATATACCAAACGGCGAAATTATAATACCGCATCAAAAAATCCATAATTGTGAAATACCTGAATGTTTGACAATAGCAAAAAATAATGAAGCCCTGACAACCATTTTAAATAACACGTTAAATCCAGTAACTTTAGACTTTTCAGAACCAATAACTGCCGAAAAATTTAATCGGAAACAAATACAAGAGTTTGACTTTAATAATTTTGACGACACCTCTAAACCAATTTTAGATCTTTCCAAAATTCGTACAGATCATTTAAATTCTGAAGAAGAGTATCATATAAAAAATTTATGTAAGGAATTTTCGGATATATTTTACCAAGAGAACATGCCCTTAACATTTACCAATCAGGTTAAACATAGAATTAGAACTACAGACGAAATACCAATTTACACGAAATCATATAGGTACCCATTCATACACAAAAGTGAGGTTGAAAGACAAATTAAAAGCATGTTAGAACAAAATATTATTCGGCCTAGTACTTCTCCCTGGTCATCTCCTATTTGGGTAGTTCCAAAAAAGATAGATGCGTCGGGAAAAGAAAAATGGCGAGTGGTAATTGACTATCGTAGACTCAATGAAAAGACTATCGATGATAAATATCCGCTACCTAATATTACAGACCTTTTGGACAAATTAGGAAAATGTCAATACTTTTCAACATTAGATTTGGCAAGCGGGTTTCATCAAATTGAGATGCACGAGGACGATATACCAAAAACCGCGTTTACAACTGAAAACGGTCACTGGGAAATGTTGCGCATGCCTTTCGGTTTAAAGAACGCCCCTGCAACATTTCAGCGTGTAATGGATAATATTTTGCGTGGTATACAAAACGAAAAATGTTTGGTATATCTCGATGACATTATTATCTTTTCAACGTCATTACAGGAACATCTAGAACGATTNAAATAATTCACATGGACACCTTTACATTAGAAAAATCAAAATTTCTAACTATAATTGATTCCTTCTCCAAATATGCACAAGCATATCCACTCACAAGTTTAGCTTCTATTCAAATTGTTGATAGTCTAATAAACTTTTTCACCCATCATGGTGTTCCTAAACAGATCATTGTTGATAATGGTACTGAATTCAAAAACGCAGTTATTTCAGATTTGTTAAAATTACATAAAATAAAAGTTCATTTTTGTTCTCCAAATCATCCGCAGTCAAATAGTCCTGTCGAAAGACTACATTCAACTTTAATAGAACACGTTCGATTATTAAATTTACAAGGTCCTAACGAAACACCTATTGAAAAGAAATTAATGTACGCAATACTAGCTTACAATTATTCTATTCATTCGGCAACAAAAATGAAACCAATCGATATAATTAGTGGTCATATTGATAACAGTGATCCATTTAACATTGATATTAATGAAATTCTTGTAAGCGACTATGTACAAAATCATAGAGAAACAACAAAACTGTTATATTCCAAATTAAATGAAACTGACTCAAAATAAAGAAAAATTAATTGCCAAATTAAATAAAAATCGTGGTGACACGAAAATATTCAAACCACAGGCCAAAACATTCGTTAAACAGCATAAGCGACAGAAAACCACGAATAAGTTTGAAAAACCGACAATTATAATGAAAGTTAACGAGGAGC